CCCCCCCCCCATTTCTAACAGCGATATTCCAACCCGATCGCTGTTGGAAATGGGCCAATTTTTTAACAGACCGGCCGGAATCGTTGTTGGAATTTGGGCTGTTGGATTTTGGGCTGTTGGAATTAGCCACTTTCCTACACGTAAGGCCGTATGTTAGCGATGTGCCAGAAATCAAAATAAAAAAAATCAAAATCAAAATCGAGATCTGATTCGCCGAATATCTGCTACCTCCTGACGACGCCCTTTGATTTTATGGAAGTCCCTCTGTCTGGGAAGAAGTCCCCGGGGGACTTTTTTTTATCAAAATCAAAATCAAAGAGGCAAGAAGTTCAAGACTTTGAAGGCTTGGAGCACCTGCCGCGAGGCCGCTGCAAATCTAGTATACGACACGACCTGCTGTACACTGCTCAGAAAAGGCTATCGGCACCCTACCACCGACACCATGGCCGTTATTTGTAGCCAGAAGACTCTGCTGGCCGGCAAGCCAAAAACCGGGCCGGCTGGTTGGGTGCTCGAGGAGAAAATGCCGATCGTGAAAAGCGGTGAACGGACTGACGATCAGAACAGGGCTGCGCAGCTTTTTCGGGCTGTTCCGTGCGGGAGAGGGTAGTTGCAACCTTTTTTCTCCACACTCGCGATACCCCAAGGCATTTAACCTTGTACGAGAAAGATGGTGGGTAGAGCTACCTCCCGTCGCGTGGCATTAATAATGCTGCTGCTTCCTCCTTCGAAGAGTTATCGCTGAAAAACTTAACTTTGAGCAGACATTCGGCGCGAACTTGAACTAACCGCTCTCTGACGTGGATATCTTAGGGTCAGCCAAAACCTTTTTTCCGTGTACGCACGATACCCCACGGTAGTAGACCTTGGGCTTGAAAGATGGAGCAGAGAGGTACCTCCAGCCGCGTTGCTGTTGCTGTTGCTTGCTCCTTCGGAAAGTTATCGGTGGATAACCAGACCAGTGGCGGCCCAAAACACCGAACTTGAAGTAACCGTCCGCAACCGTTGGCATTTTTGCTTCAACACAACCTTTTTTTCCGGCGCATTCGGCATATCACGGCGCCAAACCTTGGCATTGCCCAACAGCCCATGTTACCAGCTCCTTCCGGATACCAATCTCGAGCCAACTCGTGAAGTATTTAGCGAGATATCGGCTAACACGTGAACAGAAGAGCGTACAACCCACCCTAGAAAAATCCCCGCTTCGCTGCTGGCTCTTCCCCTGGCGCCAGGTCTTTTTTATTTTTTGCCTCATCTGCCTCCTGTCTTCGTTAACATACACGACCCTCTTTCTTCAGTTTTCCACGATAACGCATTTTGATTTTGATTCTTGGCACTTCATTAATCCACGACCTAAGATGCCCAAATAATCTTTTGGGCTCAGAAAAGGACCCCCCCGCCCCCCCCGGTGTTTGCCATCGGGAGTGGGTTTTCGTCGCTTGGCAAGGACGTTGTAAAACAAGCCAATTCACTTCGTGAACTCGGCAACCAGGTTACCGGTTTTTTTTTT